TTCATTCATATTACAAAATTGTGAAACCCCACGGTCTCGGCTCTAAAAGTATATCGGAATGCAACCTTTTGATATTTAATAATGATACACAACAATGTTGATGAATCATGTTCTAGCGTCTAGGGACAACACAAAATTTCTACGATGTATAGCATATACCTAACCTCACTGATCAACCGAATTATTTCTTTCAAAAACACCGTTATTCATCAACTCACACTTCTCGAGTCTGTATTTAAAAGTAAATTTCATATGCTTTGAACCATGTAACGTAGATATCCCCTGATCGTAAGAAAAAAAATTGCAATGACTTATGAATCAGCCTATTCGCAATATATTTATACCCTTATTCCTCCCGTAAGATGATCTCGCGTACGTGCCGTTTACGAGCACCCGAGATGCGAGATCGTCATCTAGTAGAACGTGAGTTAGTTTCGCGAAACGACATTGTGACAGCACGTGCATCGTGGCTACGCGTTATTACGTATTCATGGGGACGGTGTGCTGTTGCCAGACCGTGAGGAAGTAAATTTCCAGCTTGAGAGCGAAACTTCGTTGATGCCGTGTTCTTTGTGTATAAACTGCTCTTTACCTTGTAGCGTGAATAGCTCTTTTGAAGTTGTATACACGGTCGTAAAACTTGCAATGCTTTTCAATGTCCATAATGCTTATATTAAATCTCTTCATTTTGTAGAAACTTTGTAAGAAATAGCGCTGAACGTCTCAAATTCAGTGCTTTCTCCGCAAGAGATAATACGAATCTTCTGAATCTGCTCTGTCTAGAAAAGAAAATAACAATTGGGAGAAAGTGAAAACTCAACGCTGATCTTTAAAGTGAATGCTTTGATAAATATTTTAAATGTTGTTCTTTTATCATGGAATGGCATTTTCTTAAATAGCATACAAGTGTTCAAGTAACTTTCACGGATTAAATATAATATAAACAAAAACATTATGAGGATTGAAATGTAATAAGTATAAAAAATTCTACTTGATAGAAGAAAGTTAATATATTTCTACAATATTATTGCGAGTAGTTCTTTCTTTGAAACTAGTTAGAGCCTATTATGACTATAGCAGTAACAGTAGCAAGTATCCTCTAAGATATTCTTGCTGAATTGGTGAAAATATAGTAGTAACAATTTTATACTAAAATACGCGCATCTCTGTAGAAATCTGTAATGTCTGTTCAGGAAGTCTGAACAGTCTGTACAGGAAGCAATTACAGGTTCTCTTCTAACTTCCTGCAATAAATGTTTCAAGGTACTCACCAGACTTGGCTAAGCTTCGGGTTTGTAGTAGTACTTACAAGCTTTGCTATTTGTAAATTTGTGTAGCTTCTCTTCTTAGTTACACTGAAATGCGAAGAGTCTCCCCGAGTAACTGTATTAATCACGCTTCCCTAGTTTCTGAATATTGTGGTCGGACGCTCACAGCGGAAGTCGAAACATCACTTCCTGGAAGACATCTTGAGGGAAGCGCTAAATTCGACGAACTTTCATGCTGAACAGGGGTGGACAACGTTGAAATAGACATCTCTCTCCCAGTCATTTCTTCGCTAAATCAGTGCTACTCGACAATGCTTCACATTTCTAGGATTGACCGTCATTTTGAATACGCTGGTTCCGGAAGCTGATTTGATTCCAATGATTGACGTTTGTCTGTATGCCCGTCGATATGTCAGTCGGTATGTCTGTCGATATGTCTGTCTGCCCGTCCGTCTGCCCGTCCACATGTCCCAATGTCTGTATATCTATGCGTATATGTCCGGCCGTTCGCTGTTTGTTCGTCTTTTGGTACGGTAGTCCGGCTGTGTCTGTCCGTCTTTCGGCACGTCCTTTGGTCTGTCGATGTGTCGTCTTGTCTGTCGGTCTCTGTCTGCCGGACTGTTCGATTGCCCGTCTATGTGCATCTCTGTGAAAAAATCTAACATCTACCACAGGATTTTCCCCCCAAATGGAATATTTCCCGAAGGATCTGGGCGATCTCAAGGCCCTCCGAATTTGAAATTGATGTATTCTATTTCACGGGAGTAGCAGACATTAAGCCGTTAGAATATTGCAGATCGTGTTATTGTGCACTTTGACTTCCCTTCGCATTTGGACATCCTTGCGGTAGAAGGAGGTTTTCCTACCGAACCACGCTGTGGCCACCTCTACATCCCAAGAGCCTTTTCAGACTTGCCGACCTCCTCGCCCTCCCGCCCTTGCGCCCTCGCCGCTTCGACGCCGCCCGGCCTCCGGCTGCACAGAAGCGGCCTTCCGTTGCGCAAGTCTTTGTAACCCTAGTCCCTGGCCTGGCCGCCGGACTGCGCTGTGGGTTGAGAAGGTGGCTCTCGGAGAGGGAAGTTGCCCTTAACAGAGCACTCGGCGCATAACATGTACCAGTTTTGACTTCATTCTATTCCTCATTACGCTGTAATTCTTTTGTTGAAATAGTACAACAGGGTGAAAGAAGCAACGTTTTTTCATCGTAGATATTGTAAGTTTCTTCCATATCTATAAAATTATCGAATCAATGTATTTTGGTGATTGTTAGTGGTCTGTTTTTGGTGCAGAAGTGGTATTGATATAGTCTATAAAGTCCGTTCCAGACGTTATATTGGAACACACACAAACATATTAAGATGATACATCTGATATCTAGCTTCTGAGCTGCGTGAGATAAAATGTTCAACTACATCTTCACATCTGTAGTTAATAACACTCATTTGAACATTTATAGAATTCACACGTAAATTCGTTCCTGATTCTACTTAAATTGGACCGGAGTAGATGCTAATGGTTCACTTATTGATGCAAATGATGTTGAGTGTGAAACGAAATTCTACGAACCAATACACTCTATCGAAATGTATACTTCGAATATATTTTCCTGCACTTCAGTGCGACGATTAATCTCCTCACAACTTTCACCTCTACCAACAGTCTCTCTATTATGTACGTAAGGCATCTACGTTCAAGCCAGTGCTCCTCTATCCTCTACAAATATTTTCCCTTTAAAAATGCAGGCATTTCCTGTAGAAACAAGGTTCGAGATATTGAGATTGATAACGTTTTTAGGCAACATGGTTCTTTAAATGCTGTAAATAATTCATATGACAACTAATTTTTTCCGTTCAAAAACAATCCGCCTAAAGTTGGATTGGAATTTTCTATTTTGAACTGCAGTTGGTACGACATTGGTGGTATTGACGTGGTATTGACATTTAGAGAGTACCTATGAAACCATGTTCGTAACGCTTACATATGTACTTTTGTACATATGTACTTATGTAAGCGTGCGCAACCTAAAATAAAAGCAGAGCAACTACCTTTTATTTATTTTTTATTTACATAGCTCATTGATATTACTAATAATTAAATAAAACATACAGTAAACGTAATAAAATTATAACTTTCATCATACAATTAATAAGTTTATGTCGAACCATTTACTCGTAGCTTAAAAAAGTAAAACTCAGTTTTCATGAACTAGTTGCTAAGCGCCTGCATTAAGAATGAACTTTGAATCCAGTACAAGACTTCATAAGATCATAATATTAAACCTTTTTAATTAATGTGGCTAACGTTTCTTGGTAGTATGGGTGAGTAATGAAGCTATTGGTAATTATGTCATTTATTGCATATATGTTTAAATAATTAAATAAATTTAAAGGAGAATATTGTAATTGAAAAAATTAACGAAAAAATATCATTACCTTGCTTATGAGAATGTGACAGCTTAAAATATCCATAAAGGACCGTGAAAGATTGCTGTATTTTAGAAACATTACTTGCATTATTTCTTTTGAGCATATAAATGAAGTTCATGCCGTAATAAATTTCGATGAGCAGCTGGTAACATACATTGTTATGAGACTCTTGCTGTTCAACAAATGAAATGAAACCAAACAAAAGTTCTCTTCTACCTCAGTACTTTCATTTTTTTTCTTTTTCCTAGCGTTAGTCCTCCAGTTGCAAGGTTCTCAATACCATGTACAGATTATGACGAGTGTGTTGGGACGTGACGTACGCCGCGCGATGTTCCGTATTAGGAGAGATGATGAAATGATGATTATGATGATGGGAAGGAAAGAAGCAATCAGCCTGAGTCTTGTTCGCTGTATATGATGCTGCTCAGGAATTGTCCAGGAAATGAACAAAGAAACTGTGGAAACCACTGATTAGAGCATCCAGTTGTCAAATTCGATTCCGGCAGGTGACAGAACATACTTACGTTAAAGAAATTTAAGAAAGTAAAAGTAAAGAAAGTAAATTTCCAACACTCTTGCGGGATTGATCTCGCAATTCCCCACAAGTTGAACTCGATCCACAAAAATAATTTACCACATTTATAAAAGCAAACTTAGAGCGAGTTCACCGTTCGTTACTTGAGTTCAATTTCACGTCGAGACTCCGGCCTTCGGCATTGAACATAAAACATCCTTGTCCAACGCACAATATCCAACATTCATTTATTATTTAAAATACGCCATTATCCTATTAATTGTGTAGAATATCATATAGAATAAGATGTGTAGTAGGACGTTGTGATCCCTCGTTCTGGATCCTTTTCTTCGTTTTATTCGCCGATCTCAGAATCGATTCATTACGATACTGTTCCTGGGTTTTACAGTGCGCCGGGAAAGTCTCTCCGCAGCGAGCCAAGTCAGGGTCTCCTATTAAATATTGCATGTATGTTGGTAGCAACGAGATCATTGGGAAACCAGTAAACGAGACCACACTTCCAGAATCTGTGAATAATATGGTGAATACGCAATTTACGTTTTCGTTTGTTACGTGCTGCAGTTCATGCTACCAACATAATTTACATTGTCAGCTCTCTCACCAGCAAAGTGCCACTGTGGAGAGAGTTTCCTGACGCACCGTATTCTTTACATTGCGGCTGGTGGCGGCGGTGTGTGACGGTGTGTGACGGTGTGTGACGGAGTGTGACGGAGTGTGACGGTGTGTGACAGTGTGTGACAGTGTGTGACGGTGTGTGTGTGGCGTGCGCAGGACGGGCTGCGGCGGCGCATGGACAAGCTGAAGAGCTCCATCGAGGAGGGCAACCGCGCCGTCGACAAGGAGCGCGAGAAGAACGTCAGCCTCCTGCACCTCATCTTCCCGCCGGACATCGCCAAGCGACTCTGGCTCGGTGAGTGCCCCGGCCGCGCCCGGCTGTCGGCTGGCGACCTCGCATTGTACACGTTGGTAGGTACTCACAGTACGATTCATTTAGTCGTGCACTTGACGTTCGTAAGTCAGCTGTTGCGGTTTCATCCCATTGGGATCTTCAATAACGCTACAGTGATGTCACTATGAGGACGGTCAAACTCCTGATTGGATGAAACCGTGAACAGCTGATATACGTCAAGTGCACGGTTAAATAAAACCTAGTATAGCTGTGCGGGCGACGCCGCGTCATAGGCACAGATGACAACGTTTTTCGACCTTCATGCTGTGACGTTCGTCAAGGCAAAATGCAGGGAATTTTCCCTGACAAAAGTCGAAGGGTGGCGGCCAAAACGTTGGCATCTGTGTGTAGGACGTGGCGGCTACTGGACAGTCCAGTACATATTGATTCCGGCCACGGATGACTACACTTTCATTCTAGGTATTGGTTTGTAAATCGACGGATTGTAGAAACTTAAACGTTGTACACTAATTAGTTTTTTAATTCCTAAGGTCCTAATAGGCGTTTACACTTAATTAGGACAAAAATAGAAAAAATATTCAATAGGGTAGAAGGTAATTGAATAAAACAATGAATTGTAATAAGCGACGGTTGTGCGTCTCTTATGTTCTTCTGTTGTGGACCATGGTCAGATTCAAATTCAACTTGTTCGATTTAGAATACCAATATTGGATTTACACTATATTGAAGATCGTATTAAAAGAAAGAAATAATATGCCACTTTCACTAGATATAAAACATTGTATTTTCTTGTATCACTCTGACGATTATAATATTTCACAATATTTATGCATTTTTAAACTATTGTACTTTATTTAATAGTTCATAAGTTTTTTTTTATCCAATAATATTATCCAATCCAATAATCCAATAAGTTTTCGCTTTATCCAATGTTTAGCTAATAATCCGTATTTTGTAGACCGCCACAGAATTTGAATTCATGTTAAAACAAATAAATTAGAGCTTAAAAACGATAATAAGACTAACATTGTCCGCTTTATAACTGTATCAGTTGCCTTTAGAATAGTTTCTTGAAGTTCCAGCATCAAACATTTATTTCGTACGTTAATAATCGGATATAATATTTGAATATTATCCCGACCACGAGACATTCGAGAGAAACATTAAATTTTTTATGAGAACTTTACATAACAGCTTTTTTTAAAACTTCCTTTAAGTATGTTCAATATTTTTTCCAAAGCTAATTTGAATACTCTAGGGTCAAATCTTTCTTAAAACTTGTCATTTTCACTCATTATCTACTTCCTTGAAAGAACTGCATTACAATCTTATTACTTTTTTTGTGAGATTAAACTTAAAACGTATCGTTTCAAATCTTTGCCCTTTTGTGAATTTTATTATAATTATTTTCACTCAGGCAGTACGTCTGAAAAATTTCGTTGCTCTTATATTTATTTCAGAGTTCTTACTTCACTAATGCGGTAGTACTCTAAATATATAAATATTCCAATCTTTTATTTTAGTAAATTATTGAATATATCTCATGATTATTGAATTTTCAATACTTGTATTCAGATCCCTAAGTCTGAAAGCATATATGTATTCAACGAGTCATCTTACAGTGTCAGTTTCATTCATTATGCAATTTGATAGGTCAACACACTTTCGTAAATGGAGAGGACCGCCATCGCTTCTGGTTAAAGGTAGAGTGTTTGAATACTGAGTAAGATGTGGTTGATTTATCAGCACCCGGAATGTTATTCCAGTACCCGGAGAACATCAATGAGAATTCAATGACGAGCTCTCAAGATAAATTGCCATATAATTGAAGGATGTTGTTTGTTTGAAAATTAATGACAGATGTATCTAGTAATAACTGGTATAATCATTTTCTGCGAGTTCGTATAACAATAGTCTTAGTTTTTAAGGTAGGACAAGGGCATGCAATTTTGAACATTTTTGTTCCTGCGGTTCCTTTCACAGGGAAGCCGATTGCGACTTCCTATTTTTTGACTAGTTCAATGTTGACTCTGACTCTTCGTTTGCACTATATATCTACATCGATAGATTCTCCTTGAGATTACAATGTTTTTTTCGGCAGATCTGGTAGTAAGAAAACGCTGAAGTTTCCACAAAGCGATTACGCAAGGTGACAGTTACGATTTTTTGGTAAACATCCAATAAGTGTTGAATTAAAAATGTAGGGATTGAATAATGTTCCAATAATACAATTCGTAATAGCGTAAACAGTAAGTTATTATCTTAACAAAGATATTGAAAAAAAAATACGCCTAAGTGCATCATTGCCTCCCCCCTTTCTTTGGTACGTGACAGTTAAACCTCGTGATTGCCAAGGCATTCGAAAGCAACTCATCACATATCGATTAACTTATAAATTATTTTTTATAATTGTTGGTAAGGCCGTGACTCTCAAAATTCCTCATCATTTCATTAATCATTAACAATATGAGGCAAAATAAAAGTGCCTAAAATCTCTAGATTAAAGAGATCTTTTATCGACATGGGAGAGGTATCACCTATCAAGAGGAGGAGTGCGGCATTTTTATCCATCAAGAAAGGGATATTTTTGGTCATGTGTTATTTTCTTATTTATATGTGTACTAATGCAATAAGAAACAAGCCATGTTTTCGTTTCTCATTTTTTGCAACACAATTTCAATGAGTAATCGTAGATCCCGCCAAGTGAACTTGGTATCCGTATATCGCTAGGCTAGACAAAAAACTTACAGGCTGTGTAGAGATAATGTAGAAACTTACTATTAGCATTAAAGATACCTTTGATCTATCTAAACAAAATTAATATCTGTTTCTCCAGAGCCGTCAAGTCAGAGATTTATGTACAACTAATAATTTCGATCCCAATTTTTTTCGTGCTATCAAACTCAATGCCTAATCGCACCACCAGCCCAGAGAAGTTGGTGTCCGCGCGCGCCTCGGCTAGACGGCCGCCGGTGACCGAATTCGCGCGAGCGGTTTGTGTCGTGCACAAAGCGACGAGAGCCGCCGCGCCCGCCCGCTCGGCTCCCTGCGGGGCCGACTTTGCATGGCGGGCTGTTGTTTTGCTGCTTTCCTGAGCCCAGCGCCCTCTTTCGCAACGGACACACGAGCTCTCGCAGCGCCGCCGAGGAACTCTGCGGGAGTACCCAATCACCGCCCTAAGAGTCTCGTCCTCCCTCCCCCTCCCCCTCTCCCCTACCGCTCCCGGCACAGCAGGGCTACTCCCGCGAGGGCGCTGCCGCGAACGGGAACAGCTCATGCCAATGGGCGCGCGCGTCCGCTCTGTACCGAGCGCGCTTACAAGCTGGTGGCGGGCGAGAATCGGGCAGCCAAGGGCGTGATGGACGGATGTGGTGGGCGTTGTTAAGGACCATGGCGAGATATGATGGAAGACGTGTTGATAGTAGTGGTGACAATGTTACAATGAGAGGGGATGATAGGCAAGTCGTGGCGTTGGGAGTGTAGTCAAAATGAGTTCCGGAAAAGAATGGTAGAAATCCTTTCACCTATGCTGAAAGAAACATCTGTTGAACGTCAGCCGGCCGGCCTCACGAAAAAAACAATTATTTTAATCCTCAGACAAACATGTTTTATAAATGACTGTACTTATGCACTTAGTTAACCAGTAGATTGTATACATTAACTTGAAAATACATGGAATATCACAAATTTGTTGTTTTCTTTTGACCTTACAACAATTGCCAAAAACACAGGGCTAGTGTCTCGGTGTGTACGGACCTAATATGATAGTGATCGAACCACACAACGGGAATTTATTGCACGGAGGCTTCGTCATTCAGGAAACAGAGACACGAATGATATAATATTTTATCATATGACCACACCCATAACAAGATCACCCACGAACTGCATGAAATTAGATTTCACATTTATTCAACCATGACAATTATTTTCTCTATTTTCTGAAAGATTATTAAACATGGAAGTACTACCTTATCACTCCAATAAATTAAAAGTTATATTAATATTCTCTTTAGTAAGTTCCAATTACATGCTTTGATATAGTATTATAATCAATAATTAAATTAATCAATTGTAAAAGAAGAGCTTTTAACAACCATATTTTTGAAGATATTATAAATGCTCATACGTTGTCACTCCAATTATGTTTCGAAACATAATGTTTTCGTAAAAGCACAAACATAGTTTTAATTGTATCAAGTAAATTATTTCCGCAATTGAGATATGCAAGATGTAAATGGTCAACAAGTTGTCAGGAAATATTTGACTTCCCTTTAGAAAAGTGTTTTTACAACCAATGGAATTTTTGCCATTTTCTGTCTGTTACTCACGCAGGCGTATAGTTGATTGGCAAAACAGATTGGAAATTGATAATGCTGAGTGTAGCAAAATTGATAGACTCATCAAATGATATGTCAGAGCATCATAAAAAGAAATTGGGATACTTTAATAATACTGTAGGATGTAAATGGAGGGGACTGGGAGGGCGGTAGTCTGTTGAGGGTG